TTGCCAATGGATGTATAGTAGGCCTTTTCGACAGGACCGAGCTGGTCGGCCATAAGCTCAAAGTAACTAAGTACTCGTTTGGGAAGACATCCAACTTTGTTCACTGCTTCCCTTACCAGCTGTAGCTCGAGGTTTCTGTTTTTGGATTTTATTTCAGATTTGCTAGACTTGCCTTTATCGCGGTCTGCTTTTCGCTTTTGCCTGGTTTTTGGCGTAAAGAAAATCCTTTCCAGCCTTTCCAACTCTTTGTCTCCTTGGTCTTCTGGATTCACTACAGGCTCTCCCGCAAAAGCAGCTTCGAGAAATATGTTTCTTCCCTCCATGGAGCCAAGAAACTTCAACCACACACATGAACTCCAGGCGGTATTTATACAGAATTAAGTGTGAACATACCTTTGAGCCTCTCAGACTTRCACTTGTAAAAAAATGTGTAGTTTCTTTCATATATTGCACAAAACAGAGAAATGCAAAGACAAATCTGCTCAATCATATCCTAAAAGYTGTGTAAACAATTACACCCCCTATTATGGTGTCATTACAAAATATGAACCTCCTTTGACAAAGTCTTACCTGCGTCAGYATCAGATCTTTTTCGCACTATTTCTCGTCCCTTTTTGTGTCATGCATTAAAGCGAGCTTCATGCACGAGGTGACAACTTGTTCAAAAACTACATTATAACCTTTGAACAATATAATGTGCTAATTATTTTTTGCCAAGGTTAAATATCCGACGCCGAGAAATTACTCGATTGTAGATTCACGCTATTGTCATCAAGCACGATACAATGCTCTTACCTATGCATTTTTGGCACACACGATAGCAGAATTGCATATAATCTCGTGAATACTACGCTGTATCTTCTGAAAAGCTAATTCTCAACAATCGCTCTAAACAAGATGCCGCCTCCGGTTTTGCCAACGTTCTTCATTCTGGCTTACTTTGYTCTCCTCCAATTTTTGAAGCTTCGAGATGCCGGGAATGACTTCCCAGCTTTCCCGTTTCATCTTTTCAGTCAAATCTTCTTCGTCTTGATATGTATTATTCGCGTTTTGGACATGTGTAAAACAAATGATGTCATTGATCGACTTGGCCTTACAGGAATCGCAGAACCAAATGGAGSCCGTGACTATTACCATTACATTGCTAGCTTTCCCATTAAATTCTGGTATCTAACTGGCGAGACACTTCAGACATTTGGTGAGGTCGTTGTGGACATGCGAATGTCAATAATATTGCACGACAGGACATACCGTTGCAACAGAGTCCGTCGCAGGATACGAGTTCAAAGATTGAATATTACRAACAGACTCCTCCTAGTGTTTATTTGGCTTAGAAGATGTCTTAGAATGCAAACCCTGGCCATGATGTTTAAAGTGGACATTACATATGTAAGCAAAACAATACAAGAAATAGTTCCTCTTCTACTTGAGAAATATTCGCGACAAGTCGTTTGGCCAGCTTTAGCAGAGTGGAGAGGTTGGCTGGGGCACTGGAAAAAA